GGGCAAGGGCATATTAATCTGAGACAATGTTAAAAAAAATAGATTGTTTGCACTACTTGAAGAACTCATGGATTTTACCATTAATAGCAGGGCAAAAGACCATTTGATTGAGCAGAAACGTTAACTGACATGGCAGTTAATTAGGATATCCCAGGAACTCTCCACCCTTGCATTTTATTTTGAAATGCCAACCAGACACATGCTTGGATCTTTGTGAAAGGACCCAGTTCAAATTCAGTGTGAGCTTCCTATAGGTGGTTAAGCCCCCAGGAAAAAAACCTGTTTCCCAAAACCTGCAGAGCAGCTGCCATATAGTTTAGATTAGCCTTCCCCATCCTGCAGCCCTCCAGGTGTTTTGGACTCCAATTCCCATCAGTCCCAGCCAGCATGGCCTAATGGTCATGGGTGATGGGACCTGTAGTTCAAAACACCCAGAGGGCTCCAGGATGGGGAAGACAGCTTTAGATAATACACTGATACATGGAGCAGGGAACTAATTTGATGTAAGGTAGCTTCCTAATTTAGATGTTTCTCCTTGAGCAGACAATCCCAGGAATGAGCTTTCATGAGACAAGTGGTATTTGTCAAGCTGGTTTTTTCATATCCAATATTCTAGCCTGAAGACTATTGCAGATTACAGCCTAGAATCTTATCCAAGAATTATTTATTAAGCAGCACTGTCCTCTGAATGAAATTGCTTCATAGTTTTAGCAGATTAAAATAATATCTGCACCCTCCAGTCTCCCCAAGAAGGAAAACATTGCCAAAATATCACAGTAATCATTGCCACCATTTGGGCATGGAACAGATATAATATGTGAAAACCCCTCAACATATTCTGTGCAGGGCGAGCACATTCTCTCAAGCATTAACACAGAAATTCCACAGCCGTCGAGTTCATTTATCCTTGATAATAACCCAAGTGTTCATTGGCATTCTAACGCCCTATTTTTCAGCTTAGTTGGAATCTGTCATGTGCATGTTACCTTGAACAGGGTTGCTGAATATGAAACTTGACTTTACTACCTATAACATTAAAATTTCAATAAGTTAAAAAGAAAAAGAAAAAATGAAAAAATGAAAATGGAAGAAATGCAAACATTCAAGAGGTCATTTCTGCCTGTTCCTTCTTTACTGTAAATTCCACATTGCTCTCATTATATCATTTATCTCCCGTAATAGCTTAATTTGGACTCCATCCAAATTATGAGGGAGACAAAGTCATTGTTTTGTTGTTTTCAAAAGAGATGCTGAATTTCATATGAATAAGGCAACAGAGCAATGCACTGAATACTAAGTAAGAGAGGAAATTTATTTCAGGAAGGTGGGCTGGAGCTGGAAATCAGAAGATACATTTATTTCATCATTGTGGGAAACAGATTTTTCTCTCCAAAAAACCATCCTGTCTTTAATGCTCATGTTGCCTCCTGTATTAATTTCAGCTAAAGGTATGTGCCCTGCATAAAACGTATTTTATATTTATATTGCATATGCTTCTGGAGTAGTGCACTGATATGGCTTTACGTGTGATAGAAAACACATCCCTGCAAGTGTATATAGTTTGTGTTGTTTCCTATATGAGGGGAAGGAAAGAGAAAACAAATTACTGTAAAATAAACAGCCACCTCCATCCAACTCTCCATATATTTGCCTGTGAAGTTTTTTAAAGGCAAATTTCATATCATGAAGCACCATAGCTGAGTGTAGAGTACCCACTTTGCATACAGAATGCCCCAAGTAGTACCCAAGACATCACCAAATAGGACTGTGGGGAAAACCCATGAATTCCTCATATCCACTCCATTGGTTTTTCCCTCAAAACCTTTCCTTGATTGTGAGTGAGCAGGGAGATTATTCAGTTTTGTATAAAATCTGGCCAGGACAATGGGAAGCAAGGGAAAGAGACATATGGACAGACTGTTCACGGGATGAAAACTAATATGGGGAAAACAGAATGGGGGATAGTGTGACAGACAATGGGATGGCAGAGACAGAAATGTATGTGGAAGGGAGGAGTGTGTTGAAATATGTGTGAATGTGTGTGAATGGAAAGTATATATGTCCACGACTCTTTGTTACCACTTACAAAGCTTAAGAACCAAAGCAAGGGCTTGTGACCTGGAGAAATCCTATCAAATCAGAATAAAAATGGTTATGTGCTCATCTGGAAATGTGCCACCTACATTTGCACATGTCTTATTACCATATTGACCTGAATATAAGCAGCACCCGAATATAAGCCACACCTTTAAAACTAGAGGGAGGAGAAAAAAACCTGAATATAAGCAGCTCTGTTCCTCGCTGCTCCTGGCTGCATACTTGGGGGAGGGGAGTCGTGCTGCATTGCCGGCGGCCTTTCCCCTTCCTCACTCTCTCCCTTCCCTACCTTGGCGGAGAGGATGGGGGACTACGCATGGGGCGGGCACCACTTTGCCATGCTCCTGGTTGCTGCTTGCCCCACGCTCTTGGCTGCATTCCATATGGTCGCGAATATAAGCCACACTTTAATTTTGCATGGTCGGAATTTGGGGACAAAGTGAGGCTTATATTCAGGCCAATACGGTAATTAATCAGCTCTGCAGCTCAGAGGTGTAGTACATACTTTTCAAGAAGAAGGCCCTAGGTTCAGACCCTGGCATCTCCAAGGGGGGCTGTTAAAGACTCCAGTCTGAAACACGATAGAGCTACTGCCAGTCAACGTAGACAAAGCAGAGCTATATAGACCTGACTTGGCACAAGTAACTTCCTATGACTGCAGTCCTAAGCATGTTGAGCCACACTGAGTTCCATGAGGCTTCCTTCCATGAGGCTCACTTCCAGGCAAGTATGTGTAGGATTGCACCCAAGGTTCCTTTATGTGGCAATGTGAACACATGCAGAACCCCAGGCAGCAGACTCTGAACTCAGACCAAATCCACCTCTACAGTCACAACACTCTTGAGTGCACATCTCCACTAATGAATGAAAAGGTTAAGAACAAGTCCAGAATCCCTTTTCCTATCTGTTCTATCCACGATAGTATGATGTTACACAGTGCTTAACATTGCCAAGATGCATGGAGAAGGGCAATTCCTCTTGCTGTCTTTCCCATACTAGTGCCCTCCAGATGTTGTGAACTACTGCTCCCATAAGACCCAGCTAGCATGGCCAATTATGACGGAAACATGCTTAGGACATCTAGTTGGGGAAGGCTGCTCAATGCCCAGTTCATGCATCAGGGACCCAATATGTCTCAGTATCATAGACAATCCAATTGAGTTATAGAAGCTGTCTCATCAATATGTATTGGAAAAGGAATCGTGTGGAGACTCTAAACTCCTTAGACAAAGGGCAGGATGAAAAATGCAAAAAAACTAAAAACTGAATTCTGAATAAAATTGCAAAGCAATAAACAAACACAATACAGTAAGCTGCTTTGCCCTCACATACTCCATACCAAGAAAGGAAAAATGGAAACAGTCCTATAATTATCCAGGTCATTTCTGCTTTTAGATCTTATTCTCCTCCTCCTCCCACATTTGCAAATCATACAGTACTTATAGAAAATCAATTGCTTCTTCTCAGCAATGGACACTTCATTTCCCCAAGCCCAGCTATAATGCAAGAGGTCAAAGAGGAGAGAGGGAGATGAACTATGGAGAGAGACGAGTTGAGGATCAGAGTGGAAAAGCGGGGTAATGGAAGAAAATTGGACAACGGTGTTCATGCTGAACCCTGACCTGGTGCTAGACACAGAGTCCTCAAAGGATGAACCAGACACTCTGCAGGTCATGGACCTTGAGAAGCAGATCTCCTGGAACCAATTCTGAGGGTCCCACTGATCGGCCCTCTGCTGGGAGATCTGCTGAAGAACCCTTGAAACTTTCAGAGGATGAGGTAGAGCTACCCTTCAGTCCTCAAGAACACCAGTACCAAAAGGCCTAGGCCCAGATTGAAGAGCAACAACATAGCATCTGTCTGCATACTCAGAATCATTGTGTGGCTCATGAGTTAGCAATCATTGGAATTCCTCTTGGGATTTAACACTAGTCATTCAGCATCCCTGACCCAACCCCCAGATCATGACAGGAGGAAGAAAGTAGCTAAGGGGAAATGGAGAATGTAATGGATACAAAGGGAACAGCAAAAGGTAATGGGGAAAGTGGGAAGAAGGGGATTGATAGAAGATTTTATATCTTCCTCTTTGCACTTCCTTCTGCTCATAATTGCTTGCAGTGTATTCTCTCCATTTTCACTGTTTTCCAGACAGAGTTAACCTTCTGCAATTTATTTTTCTGCCATAACTTAGTGGCTTCACAGAATTTGATTTCACCTGCAAAATCCATCTGTCTGCTTATTAGCATGTTTCTCAGCTGTCACTGAGATTAAATAACATCATTAAACATTAAATAATATGATCTAATCTGGCATTCTGGAAACCTAGACTGGACATAATCCTCAATCCAAAACTCTTCTATCATTTTCATTCTTTTTTGTGTGCCAAGTCCTTTAAATGAAGAATCCAATGCCAAGTGATAAAAGTGTGATTAGAGTTGGATTTATCTTTGTTTCTGTCTGTCATCTCCAATAATAGATTTGATATTTTTTTTAAAAAAATAAATAAAAACCTGGCATACTTTGAATAAATTATTTGATCAACAAAATCGAACCAAACTTTGAGATGCCTACAATGGATGCCAAATGAAGTGGTGAATTTGTTGGAAGAGTCATGAAACACTTGTTGGAAGCATTAGTTTGCTGAATGCCTCTAATCATGCAGGACTTCTACCACAAAGACACATAATTTATTAAGCACCGATGTGTCACTCATTCATGAGTTTACCCTGTAATCATTTCTGCCAATGTGTGTGAGAATAATTAAATATCATTCACAAATAATTATGCAGCTCTGCAAAAAAAAATTAAGGTGTTACTTGACAGATTGTCATATGCTATAGTAAACATCATAAGGAGAAATACAAGGTGATGTGATGCAAGTTTTAAGAGGAACAGGATTCTTTGGATAGCTTAGTTGTTTAGAGCGTGGTGCTGATAATGCTAAGGTTGCAGGTTCAATCCCTGTATAGCGCAGCTGCATATTCTTGCATTGCAGAGGATTGGACTAGATGATGCTCAGGATCCTTTCCAACTCTACAATTCTATGATTCTTTGGTGTCCAGGTGAAGAACAAATGTGAGCTTTTAATGGTGATATTAAGAAGTCCTCCTTCTGAGACATTTCAATACTTTTATTGAAACTCTGCTGGTTTGTCAGATATTCATCCTGAAATTTCACTTTTAGTGAAATATGGGCTCAGCCTAGAAATGCACAGTATCCCCAGTCCTTTCACTGTTATATCTAATTGGGCTTACACTAAAATAGGACCTGCATCAAATATTGACATCAGATAGCCACCAAGCTTCATCTGCTGTTCTATGGGCATTGTATTTAAATAGCCTTTGAATAGCTGCTTCTCACAATGGATGTAAGGCACAGAGACGCTTGTGGTGTATCTTAATCCAGAGGTATTATCAACACCAAAATTTAGATAGTGAATTTGAGAGGTCTATTCTGTTCAGCCTCATTTTGGAGTCCACCTACCAAATATAGTAATGATCTCACCAGAAGCCTACCTGGGCCTTGAGACATCTGAATTTGGCACAGCACTCCTATGCAATCTGAGCCTTCCACACATGCTCAGTCACACAGCACATCTAAGATGACTCCAGTGGCCCCGGGGCATCCGAGGCACACTATACAAACCTATAAATCTCTGAGGCTTCCCAGGACACTACATAAATAGGGTATCCTAATCTGACAAGTGTTTAGTTCTCATGTTGGGGGTAGGGTGGGGGGTTCAGGAGCCACTGACTTGCAGGCCTGATCTGGGCCACCAAGCCTTTTTTTGCTGGCCTACCAGCAACATTGTGTTAAAGATTTAAGATTAATATGCATACAATGATATGGTTTGAATGCATTGTATTTAAAATGCTATGCAGCGAGGTTTGCATTAGGAAAGAGGAGGTTTGTCTCTAGCAAACGCGGCAAGGAAAAGGCTGCAGATTTCCATCTGAGCATTTAAGGCAAACTGGTGAGTCGTCCCTGGAAACCTGAGACCAAACAGAGATCTTTCTCAGCATGAGATGAAACCTGAGAACTCAGCATGTAAGTCAGTCATTGGAGCCAGCAGCAGTAGACGCTAAGCTCAGTTTGGCTCGGCTCAGTGATAATGCTCAGCTCAGTGATAATGCTACAAGTGCTGTACCATCAGAGAGTACAGTGAGCAGAGCAGGTCCTTCAGAAAACTTTCAGTACAATGACAGTTGTACTGAAAACTTTCAGTACAATGACAGACTGTGGGTGGGGAGCACAGGCAAAGACAAAGAAGGCAAGGTATGAAGGGGGCAAATGCAGTTACAAATACACGTCCTTAGTCTTCGCTGGAGATAAAAACAAATGAGTTTGGTCAAAGGTTTAAGATTTATATAGTTAACCTCCAGTCCAACAATTATGAAGCCAGAGTTAAGTCACCTTTTGCATATCTTCCAAGAATAGATTCTGAACACAGTACAATGTAAAGAAGCATCATTTAAAAAGAGAGAGACTGCACATATTTTGTGATCCTACTGTTCTGTCTTTATATAATTTTTTGTTTTGCAATTTTCCATGGTGTTTCAATAGCAGTTAGGAATTGTATAAACGCAATTTAAACAATTCTGGAATTGATACAAGGACCTATGGGCGTTCTGGCATTATGATGCATCTAGTGAGTACAAAAATTGCAGGATTTAATTTGAAAACCGTTTTAGATAATCATCTGAATGTTGTACAAATACGCTATGGTTTCTTCTTTTGGACAATTAAATAAAATTCTAGGGAAGTGTTGGGATTTGGATCTTTGAGTTTCTGTATATATCAAAATGTGAATTTACACAGAGAAATGCATGAATGTCTTCTGAGCATTCCATACTTTATCAGAACAGCTAACAAACGTAGAAGCTAAAAATGTATTTCTATAAGAATTTAAAATGTTTTGTTAGTTAGTCAATTAGTTAGTGAGTTAGTGTGTGTTTTCAGATTATATTTATTTCAAACATAATATTCAAAGTTTAATGATGAAATGGATTAGAATTATGGAATACCCACAATTAAAATGTGCAATAAAACACGCCAAGTGAAACAACACAAGAATTAATGCAGTTACAACAGCTATGAAAACTCACATTGACCTGTAATTTCATCTCCTGGGGAGGCAAGGAGGGCAGTTTTATTTGTTTCACTGTAACATAAGAAAACAATGCTTTGTTTTGGTTTTCTGAAAAAATAAACAGCAATGGATGCATGTGATTTAAGTCAGTATATCAGGGGAATTATGAAATGGAATAGCATTATGGGTAAAAGCACACAAAAGTCATATGCATTGGGAATAAGCTGATTTATCCATCTCTATTGCAAACAAGGGGGGAAAATGAAGATTGTGAGAGGAAGGGGGAAAGGAAATAAAAGCAGTTAGCAAACAATGTGAGAAGCAGGCAGCTGTTCACGTGGGAGGGCATAGCCTTTCTCCGCCTGTATAGTGTGTGTGTGTGTCCAACACCTCCCTCATTACACACCTGCTGGATACTAACACCCAGCTGTATAACAAGGGAGAGAAAACATTCCAGAATCATCAGCATTCTTCCAGCAGGGTTGGGGACATAATGTGCTGCACTGCACTAAAAGCTCAGTGAAATTTTTCAGAAATGCAGTTTCAGCTTCCGTGGATCAACTAATTATAGAGGGAGTCTAATTTGCCTGAGTGCAGAAACCTTCTCTGTCATAATATTGCACTTTATTCACAGACACTGCAGCAAGAGAAACTCGTGTTTTTCTCCCTTGGTATTGAAAACTCGAGGGATGGGGGAAGAGGAAGAGACTACCAAAAAGCAGGGAAATTATCTCCAAAAACATACTTATATAAGATGCATAATTTAGCTTTCAGCTGCCTGTGTTGTATTTCCCATCCATTAATGACGGGTGGTCTCCTCCCTTCTGCTTTACGTTGAAGTTTGTATCAAGTCTATGTTCATATTTATAGCTCAAAAAAACAAAAAAACAAAAATTAAGTTAGGTTCTCCTTGCCAAAGAGGGAGAGAGGGAAATAAAGTATTAAGAACTTGGAAACTGCAGCATCCTCATCAAGCCTTAATACAGGCTTCTCTAAACCCAAGTTCTCCATCTGTTGTTGTACTACAACTCCTGTCTTCCCAGACAATTTGCCACCCCTGCATGGGCTGATAGGAGCTATAGTTCAAAGCATCTGCAGGGCGCTGCATTGGGGTAGTCTGTTCTCGTGTGCTGTAAACAAACACGAAAAGAGTCCTGCTGGGCTAAAGGCCCATCTGTTTGTCCCAGCATCCTTTTCTCACGATGGCCAACCAGATACCATGGTTATGAAAAGCCTGCAAGCAGGACCTGGTGACTTTCAAAATGTCGAAGGCAAAACAGGTATTCTTGCATACATGTGATGCTTTTATTCCCATGCCAATGGTCAGCATCTGTAAACAGACGCAATCACATTGCTGAGGCTTTTCCTTTTTTCTTTTTTGTCCTGTTGTATGCTGTATTCTTTGGGGAAGGGCTGTGGCTCAGTTTATGGTATCACCTGCAATCCTGGAGAATGGTTGCTAGTCAGTGTGGACAGTATTGAACTAGATGGACCAATAGTCTAACTTGGTACATGGCAGCTTTCTATGCTGCTGCTGCTGCTCCACTGGCCTCAGAAAGGGTGTCCTAATAAACCTTCATAATCTTTAACACAGCCTGAGCCTATGAACTCAGAAGTCAGTATGCAAAGGAAGACAGCTGTTGGTAAATAGCAACACCATTGCAAACCCATTTCTTCTTCATCTCAGAGTAGGGTATCATGGCTTCAATCTTATCTATACTTAATTAAGACTCTCCAGATTCCTTTACCGCACATGTAAATTCTAGTGTGCATTTTTATTTTTAGTTTGTTTAGACCTCACAAGCTACAAACCCTCGGTTTTAATATTTACCAGCAATCACACATTAAATGGAGCTTGATTTTTAATGTGATGACCCATAATCCAACATTTAATTAATCAACAGCATTCTGGCATATATTTACTGACACTAGACTTTGCTGTTTCAAAATAAAAAAAACCACCCCTACTAATATAGTGATCTTCCTTCTTTATTGACCTCTCTTTGGAAGAATCTGCCAGAAAATATTTTACAGTATATTTGTGTTGTGCAATAAATATTTCCTTTAGATTAAAAAAAGAGAAAGACCTTGAATAAAAATAAATCAATATTACGAATGTTATATTTTTAAAGAAGGCCCACAAAATCCCATAAATAGCTAATTCATCTCTAAACATAGCATAAAATGTGCTCATTCTCTCTACATATTGATAATATGTGTTTGGGAATTTCACAGAAACGAATTGTCCATTGGGACCAGTAAAGTGGTAGGCAGGAAGACCAACAGTAGCTGGAGCCAGAACCAATGACAGGCAAAGCCAACTAGTTTTAGTTTTGTTTGCATCTTTCCCCTCTCCCTGCTAAGTTCTACAGGAGAAGCACTGAGACTAAGGAGGAGGAATATGCTGACAGCTAGTCCCTCCCCCAGGGTTGGCTACAAGTATGGAGGTAGGTAGGTGGGGACTGGCTGAGGGCAGATTGGGGTTTCCCATTTGTCCTAATACAACCACCACCACTAGTCTGGCTATCATTTCCTTCTGGTCTTGTTAGTTTTGTCCATTGGTAAAAATAAAGATGTGCATTCCCAAAGTGCCTGCAGTCAAAGAGGCTGCAGCCTATTGGTTGCATGAGGGGCTGAGGCCTGGGTGGGTAGGTGGGTGAAGGAGGGACAGCCTTTCTGCAGTGAAAGGGCTGGGACCACAGACCAGTGCAACTCACAGCAAAAGTCCCAAGTCCTGAAGAGAGAAAAGAGGAGCAGACCCACCACAGAACCAGAGGAGCAGACCCACCACAGAGAGAACTGTTTCATTGCATAGCAGTAGAGGAAAAAATCAGTTTGGATTACATTTTAGTGCAAACCGACCTGATATGCACTTGCCCCCCTCCAAAAA